GAAAGATGAGAAGATGCAGACCAAGAAAGACCTGGTTACAGAACCTGACTAACTGGACAGGCCTCAGGCATGCTACCATGAAGTCCATCGCAACTGACCGACAAAAGTTAAGAGAGCTGATCAGGCAGTCAACAGAAACTGGTGACATAACAACACACGGTGCTACGGGATGATGATGCTGATGATAAACCAAAACAAAAATAAAAAACAGACTAGGTTAAAAGGAGAGGCCAACAATAAGGAGACAAGGGTGTATATAAAAGAAAAGACGAACGTTGATGAAAGAGGCTAAAGGTTACTGGGCTGTATTCCCTCCAAGGTACTGAAACAGCCGCACTAAATAGAAAGGCATGAAAAAATAAACTGCTAGCCCTAAATTAAGTTTATATGGCACAGCAAGCTGATAATGATGATGATGATGACGACAATGATTAGGACGACGATGTTGATAATAATTGTGAAATATTCCATGACCCATATCCGTACTTTGCTATAGGAAAAAGTCATGTTTATAAATGTTTATTTTCGTTTGTTTACTTACGTTATGCCATACGCTTTTAATGCTGTGTAATTAAATTAAATCAAATAAAGAAATGCAATAACTCCGTGTTATCTGCGTTGTGTTTTACATAATTGGTTCGTAGTATTAATTTCCAGGTCTTAAAATAGGTAAAGTCGGGAGATGTGAACCAGCGTCATTGAACACGGTTATAAAACATAAGTGCTCTGCCACCAGTACGGAAAGCTGATAAGAATTGTTCGCCCGTGTCGCCGTTCGCGCGTAACTCTTTAGCTACGGCGACGTTCCTCCATTTACCCCAGAGTGTCCTCTGGTACCCATTTCCTAGAGGCTGGGTGAACCCCTGAGGCCGCCCGGTTTCGAACACCGACCGTGGCTGCAGCGAGTCGCAGCTGGATTTGAATGCGGGCCTCTTATCGACTGCGCTAATATGGGCATTCAAAAGATGTTATGGGCATGACATCTTCTTCTTCGCATTCAGCGGCTGTCATAGACACCGCTACCTAGGAGCTCTGACCCCTTGACCCTGCCCCCTCCTTCTCCCAATTTTTTTTTTTTTCTATTGGACTTAGAGATCCCCTTTAACAATGCGTAAACATATTCTTTAAAACAATGTATTACACATTTCACATTATTTCAAGCAATAATTTTTTGTGTGCCAATCAGCCTATTCATAATAATAATAATAATAATAATAATAATAATAATAATAATAATAATAAATACTAATGTGCTGAATGATAAACATATTTAATAATTTACTTGAAATGATATGAAATGTAAAAATCAAATACTTTTAAAGATAACACACACACACACACACACACACACACACACATACGTGAAAAACAATGGAACCTACCAATCTTTCTTAAATGTTTGTTGCATATATTTGTAATTCTTACTGCTTGGTTAATATAAATTTCAGTAACCTATGGTGCGGTTTCAATTGTTTGAGATGAATTATGTTCGTATTCCATAACTGTGGATTTCAAGTAGTACAATAGACATAGCCAATGAAGACACCTTTAATTGGGGGTGCATAGTTGGTCATTTCCTTAGTGCACTTGTTTCCAAAGCGAGGCGCACACGCCATTTGGAAGTGACAGGTTTCATTCCCGGCGCAGTTAACTATAGCTTTCGATTTGAATGATGTTCAGCGTGTCCTTCTATTTTTCTACTTCTTTCTCTTAGTGAACGTTGACGAGAGAGGTTAAAACTGGGGGAAAGTATTTCATCCATGATATTGAACTAATTTCACCCTATAGAACGGACTGGAGGCATAGGCTGCCTACCCTATATGACATTTAATGGCACAACATGATGATGAATGAATGAATACGATTTAAAGGGATTTTAGGGATTTGTAGCTAGTTTATTTTCATCCTGGAGATGCTAATCCTACAGAATACAAATCTGGAAAGGTAAAATAAATTATTAAAAAGGGCTCTTTGGCTAAAGTCGGCTCTGTGGCTAAGTCAATGCGAACGCTTCATAATGCCGGGATGCCGGGTTCGGTCCTAGCTGTGGGCCACGCGTCTTGTGTTGGTTTCGACAGTGGTATCAGGGGGCCGACCGTCCAGGGCATTGGCAAACCACTGGACGTAAATTTGCCTAGAGAAACCACACAACAGCCAGGGGCTGCTGGGGTTGGTTCTGCAACGTCCTGTAAAGGATACGCAACTAACCTAACCTTTGGCTAAAGGAACGATTATTCGTAGCTAACTTAGCCTTAGGGGTAAAAAAAAAGATGTGGTATATTACAAGGAAGGATCCCAGCCAAGGGCGCTAACCGCTCCCTGAAAGAGAACAACTCAAAGTTTCCATTCATCCGGGAACTTTATCGTCTGCCGGGGAGGTAGCCATTTTTTAGGTAAATCCGCCCTTTCTTTATTTCAACATTTTAACCGTATTTTCCACATTTCTCGCAATCACACACGTCTCATTTTGTACAGGATAACATTTGCAGACTATTTTCTTGCGTTTTACAGACGAACTTTCTTGCTACAGCTTTGGTGGTGGTTAAAAATGGAGATGCGTCGCCCGTTTGATCCGCTAGCACACGAGTTGGATCCCAATTTCCGACTCACGAAGTTTGCTGACCTAAAGGGATGAGGGTGTAAGGTCCCTCAGGAGATTCTGCTCAAACTCCTTGAGGGACTCACACAGGACAGCAATGCTCAGGAAGCGGAGCAGGCGCATTTCCAATATGGTGCACCATCTCCGCGAATTGGTAAGTTACTCTGTCATGTTTTAAAATGGCATTGTGGTTGTCCACGTACACAATGACAATCATCATGATAAAATTCCCGGTTTCCAGAAAAATGACGAAAAAGTTCAAACCGTTAATTTTCCTTTATTTTTTCCCCGTAATCATCCTTTTTAAAATGCAAATAGCTCATTGAAAAATGTTATCATATATAAAGAAAAGGCAGTTTTATGAGATTGCAAGCTTTTTCAATACAGAAATCGGTAATTTCTTTCTAATTGAGATACTTGTTTGACGTTCTCCTGGGGGAACCCTTTCTATCTTCATAAATTTAACATGGCGTTTGGTGAACTCTCCCAACCCCGCCCATTTTTTCAGGCCCCTCCTATTTTTTTTTTTTAATTTGATGGTCATCCCAACCAACAGCAGAGCAAGCCTTCCAGTTTTTCTGGAGCCTTTTCCCCAGGACCTCCCTCCTCCCCAATCAAATTTGGGAGTTTCTGAAAGGCCCCATGGTGATTGTCATTGTTTGTGACTAAAACTAAATCTTTTGGCCTGTTCTTTCACTATGAAGAAGCAACAGTTTTGCCTTCTTAAGCAGACATTCAAATATATCTTATAGGTGGCATAGATTGGATAAAAGTCACAGAACTTGCATGATCTGGGGGCCTGTTGATATTTATATCGCATTAAGGGACAATGGGTCTACCCCCTTCCTCCCACCCCTTCCCACCACACACAGCTGTACACACATGTAATTGTAACTGACAGTCACAGAGCAAGCTGAGAAAGGTGGAAATGGGCATGCTTTTTTGCAGAGTGGCAAGCATGGCTTATGAGGTCCTGGGTAGTTAGCATCCTTTGGATATTTTCTCACAGTTATGCAGATATGTTCTGGAAGGGAGTAGGCAGATATAGTGGCCGGTTCTGCACAACTTGGTGGGAATTTATGTATGACAAGCTAGATGTTGTGAGGGTGTTTTGGTGAATTGTACGGAGGCACAAACAGATCATTAGTCTAAGGAGAAAAACACTGCTAGGGGTGACCAAGGGATCTGGCTGTCGCTCAACACTTAAGGGAAAAGTAAGACAGATATACAATCAGACAGTTGCGGGTGCCATTCGAATTGCTGCTGAAGATTGGGACAGAGCGATTATGTGTGTCCCCTGCGTGCTGTGGTGTCTATTCTTAACTCAGCATTCATTCAACACACAACAAATAAGGCCCTGGAACCCGCACAGGAACATATAATTGGTTACACCCGTAAACAGTGACCACAAGAAGGCTTAGTGATTAGCAGAAGCATGTCAAGAGAAATCATCTGGATGGTATCAGACAGTGGCAGGGAGGAATATCATCAAAAAAATGTATCTTTGCCATAATATTCCTCCTGTTCATCTACATTTCCAATTTAAAATACAGCCAAAGGCAAGTGAGCTTTAACAGATGTTTTTGATACGTATGTATGGTCTGCAAGTAGCCAAGCTTTGTGTGTAATACGTAATGTAATACATATATTGTTGGAAAGGTGCTGAACCACATGTGGTGAAGTAGGGCTGATGATGGTCAGAATCTGTCTATGCCTTTCTGCGGCCAACTTAGAAACTGGTTCCCAAGTGTGTATGCCCAAGAGGCAAGGAACCAACCATCTTTTTACAACTAAACCAGATCTGTAAAACGACTGTGCATGCAAAATTTCTCAAGTTCGGAAGGAGACTGAAAACGAGGACCTTTCACTGGAGTGTACAGCAGGTGATTGTGAAGAATGGACATGTGTGCAGAATGGAAGAAAATTGGCCAGAATGGGAGGCCAGGAATGCAGACCCCCAGGGTTCACTGGAAAGACAGCATCGGACAGTCCCTGGCTGACAGAGGACTGAAATAGAAAAAAGCCTCTGATAAAACTGCTGATAGAGAAGGCTGATGATCTCTCTTGCAAACCTCTGCACTTTAGAATAGAAGAGGATTGGCTAATTAAGTAAGTGAAGAATTTGAAGACACATTTTTGATCAGTTATGGTCTGTCACCGTATACAAGTAAAGATCCCTTTTAACGCCTCAGGCTCATCGGGCATACAGGAAGAGCACCCATATTTTTACAAGCCAATTGGCATTAGGTGAGTAATGTGGTTAGTTAGCATTACACCATGTCACAGTATAGCACATAGCAAAAGTTTACATTCATCTCATTCAGTGTTTGAAAATTGTGTGCCCTTTTTCGAACTATCAACCTGATTTAGGATTATTATTGTTTTTGTTTCAGGCATTGGCATGGATTCCTCTATCACCCCTCTACGACATGGTGGACTTTCCCTCGTTCAAACAACAGATTTCTTCTACCCCCTCGTTGATGATCCCTACATGATGGTTTGATTTGTGTTTGTCTCAACAGTTTGTTGTGAGAGACAAGAATATATAACTTCAAAGTCATTATTACAATTAGTTGTTGGATACACGACTGTATAACTTTATAGTCGTAACAGTTTGTTGCTGGATAAATCAGTACAAAAATGTGACACCTAAAAAAAATTAAATTACAAGATAATGGTTCTGTGTACCACACACACACAAAAACAAGCCCTGATTTTAAGAATTCTGACAGTTTAAAGCAAAAGTATGTGATGATTGTGATTTACAGAGACTATGGTGCTCGTTCTGTATTTTCTTCACCAGATTTACCTTGTTGGGTGAGGTGTTTATTATTACTTCTTCTTCAGCGTTCTGAGCCCTTGAGGTTCATTGCTGCAGATATCAACCGCCTCCACTCATTTCTTTGGTTCACCTTCTCTTTCCAGTTGGTAACACCAATTGTTTGCAGGTCTGTTTAGAGAATATCTGTCCAGCGCCTTCTTGGTCTGCTTTCTGGTCTACGACCATTCGTCTTCCTTGTATATACAGTTTATTATTACACAAAAATTAAATTTGTGTAGCCATAATTTTTGGCTGCATTAAAATAATTTTTTTTTTTTTTAATTGCAGTCAGAAAAATAATGTAAAAGTTGAATTAAATTGTAAAGTTAACCAAATAAAGAAATACTTTTTTTGAGAAAATAGCGGCCTTTAAAAGCCTGAGCACGGTATGTGTTTTAAAACCAAGTTACATAATTTCAATTTCATTGTTATTACTATTTGAACATATGCCGGTTATAGTTAAAGAACCACTGAAAGCATGGAACGAAAGTTTGAATGCATTCTAAAACAAATTCCTAAAGAAACTGACGAACATGACTTGGATGAATTCAAGAAACTTGAAGAAATATTAGAAATGTGCGGGCAACCACTGCCATTAACAGTTGTAAGGCAAATAAGATGGTGGCATATTGGGCACACCCTGAGAAAGCAGAAAACAGAGAATCACCAGTCAGACACTGGAATGTGAAACAAATGGATTGAGGAGATAAGGATATCTACAAACAATTTGGCACTCTGAACAGCGGCCCCAAATTATCTAGGTCACAAACCTACCTTTTCAGGATCTCAATAGGTCATCCAATGCAATTAAAAAGTAGGAATTAAAATATAAAAATGAGGACATGGTTAGGGTTGGGCCTCACCCTAACACTAAACATCTACAGCTGCCAGTTTAGCAATTGATACACCATTATTGCTAATCTATGTCAGAGCTGATTATCTCCCTGCCATATTTATCGCAAATAAATTCAGCCACATTTTTACACATTATTATTGAGGCCCTGCAAAGGGTGGCTTTTTCACCTAGATAATTTGGAACCGTTATTCGGAAGAGTGCCAGAAATTCTAAGACAAGCATTGATGCGAGAGGCCAAAGGTTCTGATGTAATCATAAGTTTGCTGGCAGATGCGGGACACCACTATGTCATCCTTGGTCGAAAGTGCCTAATGACTGCTTAATTAAATGCAGCATTTTGAGTTTGTGTCTGGTTACAGGGGAAGATCACATGTGCCAATGTGCTCAGTGATCTGTATGCCATGGGTGTCACCGACTGCGACAACATGTTGATGCTGCTGACTTGCAGCAACAAGATGACTGACAAGGAAAGGGATGTCATTGTGCCAATTATCATGCGTGGTTTCAAGGTTTGTATTTTTGTTGTATTTTTTTTTTGTTTTTTTTTTTAAATTAATATAATTTATTTATTGTTGTTACCAGAAAGAGGGAGCATGGTTAAGAATAATCAGCTTTCACCTCATATTTCTGAGGTTCTGTGGTTTGAATCTAGTGTCATGTCCCACTAATCCAGGCATTTAGACAAGATCCATTTCCTTGATAGAACCAATACTGCTGCCTTTTTGTTATTTCAGCTTATTGACATTTTTTATTAAAACTTTCCTCAATGGCCGAGCGGTTAAGAGCGCTGGGCTCTCATGCAAAAGGCGTAGGTGTATACAATAGAATCCTAACCTGCTCAGCCATGCAGCTCCAAATCCTCAGGCTCAAACGCCACCACCACCCAGCATACACTGCAACAGTGGTAAATGCAGGCATTATTGATTTTTAGGTACTTTTTTATTAGCTGACCACAAACAGGGAAATATCCACTGGTCACAGTGCAGTCAAATATTTCAGGGGGTGGTAGATTAAGCATATAGTTTTGGTTAGGTTAGGGTTAACTAAAAGCACGAAAATCTTGGCCTTGGAAGAAACACGCTAAAGCACAGAAAACTCGCTCTTACAACCCTGCAAAATATTGGACTGTCCAGTGACATAATTTTTGGTCAGCTCAAAAGAAAGCACAGATTTTTTTTTTTGGCTTCTCACTTGTTGCTGTCAATGCAGTATCAAAATATGTATATATTCATTGTTGTGATTCTTGGTGTTTTCCATGAGGGGGGGGGGGAGACACAGACTAACTGCCTTAACAAGCGTGTTGTAAAAGATGACTAATTGGGGTTTTGCTGAAATCAGATGTGTTGAGCCAAAAGGCGCAACAGTTACAGCCTACCTTAGTACACAATGTGCCCTGTCCTCTTGAGGGAATACACAGAAGGTGACTACTTCTGGCATCATATTTTCTGCAGGTTTATGTTTGTGTTCTTTACATATTGGAAACCAAACCAGAGGACTTTTTCTTCTTTCCATTCACCTGATTGACGTAATTGTGCCTGTTTGCTGCAAGGCTGCATTATTTGCGTTTTTTGGCCGGCGCGTTTGACTTCATCTGGGGTTAGTTCACTGGATTAGTCATCTCTGTTGGTTTCATGGGACATGCTTTAGCCCTCTTCGTGTGGTGTGTCCTCTTTGTCCCTTTATTTACTGGTGTTGCTCTTGTAGAACCAAGTCTGTCTACAGATCCACATTATTCACCACTAATTTCCAGTGTAATCTTCTTTCTTACTTTTACTTATTTGCAGCTTTGACATATGAGTCAAGGTTTTATGTGCAGTGATCTTTGCTATGAAAAGATATCAAACCAGTTGAGAGGTAGACCTAGTCCGCTTTAAAAACGTGAATGACAAATCTACGCTGCGGACAGAAAAACCTTCATCAGCGTGTGACGCAAATGGACAAAGATATCATTATGAACAAGGAATCAATTATTAATTTTGGCTGCTGCGTGGTCTTGAGGCATGGCATCCACCTCGAGTGCTAGAGGTCCCGGTGAAGGCTGGGATTTTTCACATGGATTTCTAGTAATCTTCCCTGGTCTCTTGGTAGTAAGATCGGACGTGTGTATTGTTGAGTGCGTAAAAAAATCCCTTGGTGGTTGGAAATTGAAAAGATTAGCCTAATGGTGTTGCCCAGGCACAATTTGGAGTTACAAATGTACCGAAAGTATTTCTGGATCCCTATCAGTGCTGTGGAGTTCATGCACTGCGCTGAGATTCTTCTGACTCATACTTGAGTTAGAAGAAGAATGGAGCACTTATGGGTTACTACCCTTGTGCTTTGATGTTGATCTGTTGTTTAAACCTAAAACTTAGAATCATTTATCTATAAGTGGAAGCCATTTACAGAAATATCCATAAAAAACAATTGGTGCATGAAGTTGTATTAGACAATAAGGTCTTATTGTGAGAGAGCCCATTATACATATAAGACTGTTCTCAAGAGACTTACTGTCCACTGTAATCAGAATGATCCATGCTGCTCTGCAGTGAGATGCAGAAGTGTGTGGGATAAAACTGTGTGCAGTGAAGTGAATCGTCTTATTTATAACGTTTTTTTGAATAGTTAATGAATGGTTTTATTAAATTAGTAAAATTTTGTTGTTTTTAAGTAATTATTGTAACTGAGTGTAAACAAGAAAAAAAGACTGAACAAGTCGAATCTCCTGCTGTGTATTAATGATATGCTTGTCCGTGTCTTTGCCAGGATGCTGCAGAAGAGGCTGGTACTCAGGTGACCGGTGGGCAGACCGTCATAAACCCTTGGATGACTATTGGAGGTGTTGCTACATCTGTCTGTCAGTCAAATGAGTACATCATGTGAGTGTTGCCTGGTTTGTTTGTCAGTCAAATGAGTACATCATGTGAGTGTTGCCTGGTTTGTTTGTCAGTCAAATGAGTACATCATGTAAGTGTTGCCTGGTTTGTCTGTCCGTCAAATAAGTACATCATGTAAGTGTTGTCTGGTTTGTTTGTCAGTCAAATGAGTACATCATGTGAGTGTTGCCTGGTTTGTCTGTCAGTCAAATGAGTACATCATGTAAGTGTTGCCTGGTTTGTCTGTCCGTCAAATAAGTACATCATGTAAGTGTTGCCTGGTTTGTCTGTCCGTCAAATAAGTACATCATGTAAGTGTTGCCTGGTTTGTCTGTCTGTCAAATAAGTACCTCATGTAAGTGTTGCCTGCTTTGTCTGTCCGTCAAATAAGTACCTCTTGTAAGTGTTGCCTGGTTTGTCTGTCCGTCAAATAAGTACCTCATGTAAGTGTTGCCTGGTTTGTCTGTTCGTCAAATAAGAACATAATGTAAATGGCCCAGATATTTTGTAATATGTGAGGGCCTAAAGGCAGCTTATCTGCAACATCAGGATGAGGCATCATTTTTTGTACTCGCTATGAGAAACTGAAACATGTTGTGATCCCTGAAAAGGGTGAGATTCTTGACAACCTTATCATGGCATGAAGTAATGTCAACACATAAACTGGTGCGTGCTGTTAAAGATCACAGGTTGTGGAGAGGATAATCACCCATGCCAGCCAGAAAAGCTGTTGGTGATGTTGCTAATAGTTGGTAACTTGATAGTTACCTTTTTTCGTTGATTGAATTTGATGGTTTTTCAAAACGAACCTTGACTACAGGGTCAACCCAGCCTTAAATAAATGTGTACCAGGTTAATTCTTGGGAAGTAAAAGCGGCCGACATGTTGACGACATCACCAACCGAGCACCGCTTGGTCTTTAAAATATCAGTTTAGCACTGTATATCTGGTGTGGAAAGGTATCCTTTACTTTACTGTTTTAATGCTAGCTATTGTTCAGATGTTCTTTACAGTTGCTGTACACTGAGGAGGTAGGAAAAATGATGGCAGTTATAAGTATAATTTTTTTTTTTTTTCTGTACAGGCCAGATAATGCTGTGGTGGGAGATGTGCTCGTTCTCACCAAACCCCTGGGCACCCAGGTGGCAGTGCACAGTTACCAGTGGCTGGACCAGCCTGAGAGGTGGAACCGTATCAAATTGGTGGTGTCAGAAGATGATGTCCGGAAAGCATACCAGAGAGCAATGTTCAGCATGGCCCGCCTCAATAGAATAGGTATACATGTGATGATGTTTGACTTTTAGTGAGGACATTTAAAGAAGGATTCCCATTACCTTTTTTATTAGCCAACCACGAACAAGAGAAATCCACAGGTCACGGGGCAGTTAAATATTTCAAGGGGTGGTAGATTAAGCTTATAGTTTTGGTTAGGTTTAGGTTAACGTGCTAAAACCTTAGCCTTGGAAGTTATGCAATTGAGCACAGAAAACGGAAAGCTTTCTCTTACCACCCTCTAAAATATTGACTGTCCTGTGGCGTCATTTATGGTCGGCTAAAAAGAAAACACAGAATTCTCTTCATGGGTCCCGGGCCCCTGGTCAAAAAGGGGGGGGGGGTTGTATAGATGCACTGCTTGCCTGACAAACATATTGTAAAAGCCGCTTAATAGGGTTTTCCTTCAGAGTGAAAAAGCCTGATATGCAAGGAACCACTAGTCTGCATGCTGATGAGCCAGATCTGTAAAATGTATGTGTATATTATACTCTTTCAGTTCTGGAACAAGACTGAAGCCCAGACATGGATAAACAGCCACAACTTTCCACCGAAGTTAACAGCTGGTGAATGTGGAGATGAAGGAATACTGTCATTGTACAGAGATATCTACATAAGTGCTCCAGTGTCCTCTTGTCATCATCTTGTAGCAGGCTACTTACAGAACCTCGCTGTCATCACAGTCCGCCTGAAATAAAAATTGGTCACGTCAGCTTTCCCGCCTCGTGCAGTTTCCTATGTAAGGTATCTCTTGTGTCTCTTTCCCATCTGTATGCTGGTCAGCCCCTCTTTATATTAGCCAGTGCCATGCCCTCAGCCCCTGTTCTTTCCAGTCCACCTGGGTGCTTGATATAACCAAAATATTTCCCCTTTGAGACATGATATGTCATCATCATCATCATGTGCTGTGTCATGGTTCATTGTCTCACACGGTCACCAGAATCTCGGATCAGTTCAGTTTTTGTTTGTCTTGTCCCATCTATGCGGCCAGGCTATCCAGTTATCTCTATCTCCTTGCCTTCTTCTTGCTTCCTTACCATTAATCTTGTCAGTATTACAAAGTTGTTGAGTTGATTCCTTCTCATAACATGTCCAAGATAACACATTGACTGCCCCACATAAAACTTCTAATAAGTTTACCACTTTCATTTATCTCAATGAGGGCTGCTTTATTTGTTTTTCTTTCTCATTGATATTTTTTGCATTCTTCTCCAAAACCCTACCTCTGTCCTGTCGCAAGTGAATGCTTTTCAGCTTACAAAAATTACACAGAACCAACAGTCTACATGCAAGTATGCCAAATCTGTGGAACAGATGTGCACAAACAAACAAAAAACTCCAGCTGTGGTACAAGACCAAAGTCCACAAGGGGGTAGACAACCTAAACTTGTTGCTGAAGTTTACAGCCGGTGAACGCCAAGAAGAAGAAGATGAATATACCTCGTGTACAGGGCACCTGCCTGGACTGTTTGATCCCATTGTAATGTTGAGCTTGTCTCTTATTGCAGCTGCCTGGACTGTTTGATCCCATTGTAATGTTGAGCTTGTCTCTTATTGCAGCTGCCTGGACTGTTTGATCCCATTGTAATGTTGAGCTTGTCTCTTATTGCAGCTGCCTGGACTGTTTGATCCCATTGTAATGTTGAGCTTGTCTCTTATTGCAGCTGCCTGGACTGTTTGATCCCATTGTAATGTTGATCTTGCCTCTTATTGCAGCTGCCTGGACTGTTTGATCCCATTGTAATGTTGAGCTTGTCTCTTATTGCAGCTGCCTGGACTGTTTGATCCCATTGTAATGTTGAGCTTGTCTCTTATTGCAGCTTCCTGGACTGTTTGATCCCATTGTAATGTTGAGCTTGTCTCTTATTGCAGCTGCCTGGACTGTTTGATCCCATTGTAATGTTGAGCTTGTCTCTTATTGCAGCTGCCTGGACTGTTTGATCCCATTGTAATGTTGAGCTTGTCTCTTATTGCAGCTGCCTGGACTGTTTGATCCCATTGTAATGTTGAGCTTGTCTCTTATTGCAGCTGCCTGGACTGTTTGATCCCATTGTAATGTTGAGCTTGTCTCTTATTGCAGCTGCCTGGACTGTTTGATACCATTGTAATGTTGAGCTTGTCTCTTATTGCAGCTGCCTGGACTGTTTGATCCCATTGTAGTGTTGAGCTTGCCTCTTATTGCAGCTGCCTGGACTGTTTGATCCCATTGTAATGTTGAGCTTGTCTCTTATTGCAGCTGCCTGGACTGTTTGATCCCATTGTAATGTTGAGCTTGTCTCTTATTGCAGCTGCCTGGACTGTTTGATCCCATTGTAATGTTGAGCTTGTCTCTTATTGCAGCTGCCTGGACTGTTTGATCCCATTGTAATGTTGAGCTTGCCTCTTATTGCAGCTGCCTGGACTGTTTGATCCCATTGTAATGTTGAGCTTGTCTCTTATTGCAGCTGCCCGACTGATGCACAAATACAATGCCCACGGTGCCACTGATGTGACCGGCTTTGGGCTGTTGGGCCATGCCAGCAACTTGGCCAAGATCCAGAAGAATGAAGTAGGGTTTGTCATCCACAATTTACCCATCATCGCCAAAATGGCTGCTATCAGCAAAGCTTGTGGTAACCTGTTTGGGCTGTTACAGGGAACTTCTCCAGAAACATCTGGTCAGTACATGTGTGTTAATTGTGTCTTTTGCTTCTGTTTAGTTGTGTGGTGTAGTTCATGTAGTCTTTGTCGTATGGCATTGGTAGTCATGTCCATCCACAACCTTCTGTCTCATGTACAGATGATCTTCTATACCAGTGGTTCTCAACATTTCTAATGCTGTGACCCTTCAATACAGTTTCTCGTGTTGTGGTAAACCCCAACCATAACATTATTTTCTTTTTTTTTAAAAATAAAGTCGGGAGATGTGAACCAGTGTCATTGCACCCGGTTATAAACCATAAGTGCTGTGCCACCAGTACCTGCAGCTGATTCTTCTTCTTCTTCTTTCGTTCGCCTGAAATAAGTTATCTATATCAGCAGTTTTGTCTCTTGTATAAATTTCACTGTCGTTGTTAGTTCATTCAGTGGTCCATAGAGTTTACGTTCCACTGTTGTTCTTTCTGGCCAAAAGGTTTTCTGTGTCAAAATCGGTGCAGTCCTGGAGTACATGCTCTGCGGTCTGGGGCACATTTCCACAGGTGCACATGGCTGATACACCTAACTTGAATTTTGTGTACATGTGGTTACGTAATCGGTTGTGCCCTGTTCTGAGGCGGAAGATAATGACTTGTTCTGGTCTGTCCATAATAAAATAGCCGTCTTGTGCTGGGGCTGGTGGTTTCCTGATCGATTTAATGATTCTTTTCTTTTGGTGGTATGTGACTGGTACATCTGGCTGCTCTTTTGTCGCACCTTCCCCTGCCAGTTGATCAGCTTTCTCATTTCCAGGCACTGCACAATGAGACCTGGAAATATGCCTGCAGCTGATAAGAAACTGACTATGTCGCTGTCCGCATGCAGCTCCGTAGCTACAGCGACATTCCACCATTTACCCCAGAGTGTTAACTCTGGTAACCATTACCTAGAGAATGGGTGAACTCCGGGAACTGCTCGATTTTGAACACCGGCCATGGGCTGCATCAAGTCGCAGCTGGATTTGAAAGTGAGTCTCCTGTCAACTGTGCTAACGCGGCCCCCAATTATTTTCTCTGCTACTTAACTTCAGTGAATATGTTTTGTTTTTTTTAATGGTTTTAGGCGACCCCTGTTAAAGTGTCTTTTGGCCCTCAAAGGGGCGAGAACCGCTTTTTTGTGCATAATGTGAGACTGCCCAGCATGTGTTTTCTTGATTTCCCTCTACCTTCATTCCCCTCCAACTTTCCCACCATTACAATGCGGGCCAGATCTAACAAGTTGCCTGCTGATCATTGTCAGCCTTGTTGTATTAATACGCTTTATATAATTGGGTTGTTACTGGTACCATTGAAATTTAACTCTTCGCTTGCTGCTGAAGATGGAGACGAAGCACTTATGAGGGTGTTCTGAGTGCTGTTATGTCGATTCTTAATTCAACATAAAATTGGACTGTGGCTTCTGGCCCCTGAGGATCCCCATGTTCAAAATGTTTACCACTGAGTAAAAATAGTTGAATAGCCCTGGTCTAAGAATGACATAAGAGAAATATCAATAGGATGACACTCAACATCCAGGACTCAGCTCTGTACAAAGACATGAACACTTGTGCCATATGGCTGGGGATGGTCAAATGTTTTAAATAAATGTAGTTACTCTCAACAATTGAAACAATAGAGCACTATTCAGCACAGTATTTTTTACCAACATTGTGTTACCAGCACATGACCATTAAAGTGGACATTAACAACAGCTAACTTTATTCAGGAGCCAAAATTATGAAAATGGAGAGCGTCATAGGCCAGTGGTTTGAGCGTCAGCATAGAAAGAACATCAATACAATACAGCTAACAATGATTTATGGGCCATTTGAATATAGGCCACCATGGGCCGCCACTGGAATAGCCTTGCTGTAGAGGATTATAATTGTCCATGGTTCAGGAACTGGCTTGTAATGGGGAGGCCATATTTTTTAGTGATTGAGCGAGCTGAACCCTGATATTAAAATAATAACACAGCAGATTTGCATGTCACTTGTCAATACACGGCAGCGTAATACTGGTTGTGTGTGTGTTAGCACTACATACATACATACTGTTTATATGTTTAAAGACTCTCCATATGGGTTCCGGGCTCCGGTGTCAGCGATTTTTAAAAAAAAAAGGCATGTTGTAAAAAGGTGACTAATTACGGGTACTTCGTGTGAAGGCGGAGTGCATCTGCCTGTGAGACGGGGAACTAACAGTCTGCATACAAATAAGGCAGATTGGAAAAACAGATGTGCATGCAAAACTTAAGTTCTAGAACAAGACTAAAGTCCAGAAACGGAGAAACTGCCAGAACTTTCTACCAGAGTTTACAACCAATGTACGTGACGAAGATTACAATACATATGAAGATGACAGTCATAAATTAACACCTTCCAAAACTCTTTTAATTTTCATCAGGTGGTTTACTAATAGCTTTACCCAGAGAACAAGCAGCAGCTTTCTGCAAAGATATAGAGAAACAAGAAGGCTACCAGTCCTGGATCATTGGCATTGTGGAGAAGGGAAGCAAAACAGCCCGTATCATTGATAAACCTCGAGTTATAGAGGTGCCTGCAAAAGACCGGGAAGGGGAACTGTGGTAGCAAATTTTATTCTGATGTCTATTTAGAAATGAGCAGCGACCTCTGCTATACATTTTCCGCTCAATGTAGAGATGGTCGTTATAAACCTTAAAGTCAGAAGAGAAGCATATTTGTTCAGCATATGTTCAGCAGATTAACTAACTGACAGAATTGTGCCTATACACATGCCAACCCTAATCACGTGCCAGTAAAAGCCATTATTTACTTATTCTATTATGAGCAGTGACTTTTGGTACAGAAATTCTGCTAACTACAGAGGGCTGATAGAAACTGCAAATTCAAAAGTCAAGTTTATTTATTGGGTAGAATAAGTGTAACTAAACAGGGCATCATTGTTCCTGTGCACAAATTACCAAGTAAAATGATGAACTCGGTCAACACCAGGCAGTTCTTTTTTTTAAAAACATATTCTATCCTAAAAAGAAGTTTCGATCATGTCTTAAAATAACACTATTAGAGTAGTTACAGTAACAGTTGCAGCAGACTGGGTTATTGTAATGACTGGATGAGGGGAAAATGAATAATTTGACAAAGAACACATTATAGACAAAGCAGGGTACTTGGTTCTAAACGAGTTAAAATATATTAAATATATTAAAATTACTAGAGCTGCCAACTGCAAATGTTTACCCCCATCACAGTAGCTCTATGAAAATGAGAACGACCTGTAGCAGGTTCACTTTGTAGGTTCTAAAGCAAGGGAAGCTTAATTTAATTTTGTATCAGACTATAACCACCATTGTTCCATGGTGGTGTGATTAGAAATGTCCTCTTGAATCCCGATTGAGAAAATTGTGAGTGGATGTACTGTTCTGAGTTTTAACTGATCTGTATGCGTTATGTTACTCCACGTACAGAGAAAGAAAGTAGCAAATTGCTACTACTTATTCAGATTATTTTAACTGGATTGTTAATGTTCTTTTATTCTGTTTTTAGCATTATCTTTTATGTGTGTCAGCGATAATGGTCACCAGTGTTACAGTTTTTGTCAGTTAAATCGAAATTATTTGATCAGTGCATTCTTTTATTTGTTAGTATGTTTAAGTATTATTTGTACGTGGACCATGCCTTAACTTTGTTTAAACCCCATATTACGTCAGATTATGAATATTCAAAAGATAGAAACTCTTGGCTTTACTGGCCCTCGTAGTGTCGAAGCATTGAGCATGTTTGGACACTGCCTGGGTAAGCAAGTGTAAAACTCTAGCAACCTTGAGTAGTCCACGGCTTTCTTCATGAAACTGTAAAGTTCAAGCCCTCACCAGGGACAGCTTTTGCATTTGATAAATCACCGAAAGCAGTCGACCACCAGGGAAGCCTCTTATTCGTACTAGTGTATTGCATTGTCTTTTTCTGTTGGTTCATTATCACCAGTGTGTTGCCGCCAGTGCTTGTGTTGAAACCTTGAGCAAGTTTAGATACAGCCTGGGTAGGCAAGTGCATGATGTGGATGTTTTAAATATATTTGTCAGTTGGTTTTTTTTAAACTTATTCTTTTTTTTTAAATGTTGTTTTCCATCATGATATTTGAATAAAGCATTGTCAGAGTTAAATCACACAGGTCGTTTTGTCTGTTGTATTGTTAGCACTACGCCACTCAAATAAATGCTAGATCCTTGATTCGGGAAAATGAGAAAAACAATGTTTGGCAATTGGCAAATTATGCTTTTGTCTGTTATATTGTTAGAACTAAGCCAGAGCCAAATAAATGTTAAATCCTTAATTCGGGAAAATAATGTCCGGACAAGTGGCAAATAAAAATTGTGTCTTTGTATTTAGCTAAGAACTGGCATGGCAGGAGTTGGGGAAATTCCCATAAGCGCTTTGTCCTCATCTTCAGCTGCCAGCGAGGAGTTCCAATTCTGATGGTGCCAGTATGTGTCCGTCTTGCCTTTCCTCTGGGAGTAGAGTGTCGACCAGATCTCTTGGTCACTGTCAGCTGTACCATTCTCTCGGTATAGTTGTGTTAAAAGTAATAATTCTCTTCAACCTACTTGTAGTAGGAATTCACATTTCTGCTTCTGTCGTGTTGTACAATGACATATAACAGTCCTGAAAATGCTTTTTCTTCTTTTTTCTGCTTCTGGAATGCCTCAAGGTATCAGGGCAGGAAAAGATGTCCGGAACAGGCCCTTCTGTTCCACCTCTGGCTGTGTTACCACGGCATTTGTATAACATTGCTTCCTGTGGTGCCCTATCTGATGCCAGTCTTGTAACATGGCCAAACCATTCAATTTGTTGTCTGCCTTTAAAGTTCACTTTTGGTTCTGTGCTGACTCTCTTCCTGATATCATCATTCCCAAGTTGATCTTTCCTTGTTACACCTTGCATAATATGTAAACATTTGACTTCTGTCGTGACTATTTTCCTTCTATCTTCTGAAGACAGTGTCCATGTTTGACATTGATAGCAGAGGGTTGTGTTTTTGTGTGTGTTCATATTCACATGCTTGCATTTAAAAAAATTTGCCATTTGGCCTAAAGCTGAAAAATGAATATGTGTGAAAATTGTTTAAAATTTCACTTAGATGATCAGCAGTTGACCACTGCCGACAAATTATTTTGTCAATTTTTATGTTTCTGCTGTTAGCAGGAATGTGGTTTTTTTTTTTTTTTTTTTTTGAAGAAAATGCAAAGAACACACGAGACAGAAATAATTCTTTTTTTTTTGACATTTCTCACCGATTGTAAATTCCGGCAGAAAGTTCAGTTTTTCTAGGAGAGGAGGACTTCATACATGACCCCGACTGGTCTCAAAAACACATAAAGAGGCAGCAGTTATGGATTATAAGTCCTTGTCTGTTGCATAGACAAGGGCACCACAGGTTGCCAGTGGGAGACATTTTTGAATGTCACTGATCAACTACCGCCCGCCTCAAGGTGCAGCACACAGCCTGGGTGCTTGAAGCTAGGACAAAATCTGAATCACAGGCTGTAAAAACCAGTGTGCCAGGCAATAAAAAGAAATATAACCTCAAGCTTCGGCTTGCCTCATAAGACGTCAAGACCATGTGTCCTGGGTTTTCCACTGACCTGAACAATTTTAGTGATGTAAATGTACTTATCAGAGAGCTGCTGTTTGCAGATGATGCAGCAATTACCACCCACTCAGAGAAGCGGAGCTGCAATGTTTACTGTCTGCATTTGTTGTGGCATTCTGTGAATTTGGTTAACAATCAGCAAAAATAAGGCAAAGGTTATGGTGTAATGTGTTAATGATAGACCTGAGGTTTAAACTGATGGTGAAGAGCTGGAAACATTTGACCTATCTGGGATCTACAGTGAATAGCAAACTATCGCTAAACCAAGAAATCAACATCAGGGTAGGTAAGGCACTAACAGCAAGATTAACAAAATGAGTTTGGGAGAACAGAAAGCTCACGATTAAAAAAAAACTTTTGTCTATCAGGCTTGTGTTTTCAGTGAAACTTGGTCAACTCATTCGCACCAGGGGAAATGGCTTTCACATGCAATGCCTAAAAAGAATACATGGCTGGACAAGATAACAAACTGAGATATTGGAAAGAGCAGGTATTACAAGCTTTCACATGCAATGCCTAAAAAGAATACGTGGCTGGACAAGATAACAAACAGAGATATTGGAAAGAGCAGGTATTACAAGTTTTCTCAATGCTCAGTCTACGAAGGCTGGGTCACACCTGGAGGATGGGAGAGTCTTTAACATCCTCTATAGTAAATTAAAGATGGGTAGAAGATGTTGAGGCTGACCTCTACTACAATATGAAGATATGCACAAACAGGTTATGAACGATGCAGGTATTGAGGTGGACTCGTAGTCAAGAAATGCCATTGGCTGTGGAGGGAGCACATCAGGAAGGGAATGATTATTAAGGAAGAAATGAGAGCTGAGCGTCTGAGAAGAAACACACTGAATACAAATGTTGACAACAATGGTCCTGAAATCCCATACTATAATTGTGGAAGGCTTTTCTTAACGTGGGCAGTTCTTGTTAATCACACTTGCCTTGACCTTGGGATGTGAGTCCCCTGCCTCCTCATAGCACAGAGCAAAAATATTGTCTGAAAAGACGGAAAAGTGCCAGTGAATGGACGTCAATGGTGCTCTAGGTCTATTGCCCTCACACACACACACAATCCCCCTCCCCCTAATATGAGACTATCTCATACACGGAAGAGACTACCATAAGAGAGAAGAAGAGAAAAAAAACTGAAATTTGATATTTATAAAAACAATATTAACTTTTAATTCAAATCACACCAACAATAATAAAATATTTAACGTCATGACTTTGTTCAACCCGATATTGGGATCAAAATGTATAGTCACACAAATTTAATTACAATGGTTTCATTAATTATATTGAAGATAAATGTAGTGTTATAGAAGAAGGATAGATAGGGGGATGTCAGGAATTGTGTGAGGGCAATAGACCTAGAGCGCCATTGACGTCCATTCACTGGCACCTTTCTGTCTTTTCAGACAATATTTGTATTCTGTGCTATGAGGAAGCAGGGGACACACAGCCCATGGAAAGAACTATAGTAAAAGAAGAAAAATTATACGAGATGAAGCTTGACCGTCCTTTATCATGGTGCGGAGGGTTATCAGCACACTATGTTGTTGATGTATGTTTTACCCCACCAGGTCATCGCACAAGCGATAAAACACACAGTGACACTAAGTGCCACCATGCGGATGAGGATCACCCGTGAAGTGGTCCCGGAAACCCCATTTGGCCATATTTAGGGTCACAAAAGCCAGGGTGGGGCTTCAACATAGCTAAAAATTGATGAGTTGGTATAATAGATGTGTTGTTCGCAAATTTTAGGGAGGAATGATCGCCCACGCCCATCGGCAATGCAGTTGATGAGATGATAAACATAACATTTGATAATTCCTATTTTTTAATTTATCATTTCATGTTATTTTTAATAGGCCCTACATGCCTAAACTATAACCCAGAAGAGTCAAAAAGGACAGTGGTGAAAAACATAAAACTACTTGGTTACAGAACAGTACAACCACAACAACATTTGGCTGGATAATCAGGGGCGTGAACTTTGTGCTCATCTCCGTACACAAAGAAAGTGGAGTTGTGGTTCTTGTAGCTGTAGAATACTTGTGTAACCGGAACAATTCTGAGGTTGTGTCTCTGCAAAATATAAAACATACAGGGTATAATGTAAAGAACCCGCGGCAGTGTCAACAGGGTATGTGCGGCTATACATTTATTTATGTATTGTTAAACTAGCAATTCAAAGGTGATGTTGGAATAGGGTGGCCATCTGTCCAATTTTAACTTTTTTTTTCTCTGTGCGTCCCGTCAATTGCCCCGTTTGACACAAATTTAAGAATACGCCGGAGACCAGAATATGCACTTATAGTTTTATCTATAGACCCTTATTAGATTTCTGTAAAAACAAGACATGTCATCCAGTCGGAGAAAGAAAAGTGTTAATATTTATTAATTAGTATTTGCTGATGAAATCTATATATTTTCAAGTTCTCAAAATGAGTTAGCTCCTTAATGACTTACTTTGATGTCGCTTTTTCAGCTCAAAATAAGGTGGAACCTTGAACACAGTCGAAAAGGATTCCACTTAAAATATATAATTAACTCTGTCCCGCTATGCACTCACATCAGTAGATGGGTGAGGGAACTCCACGGATAGTGGAAAATGCTAGAGCAAACAATTTGTCAAGATTTAAACGACCAGTCCACCTATCTGCTATACTGAACCCAAGAAACACATCACGTATGTCTCGCCATGCACTCATCTCAGCAGTTGGGCGAGGAAACAATATGCTTTCAGTCCATGTATAGTAGAAAATGTTTTTAAAAATTGTGGCCAGAAGCATATCACCAGTCCACTGGACCCAAGAAACCCAACACGGAATGAAAGGAATGATTCCACTATCACACCGGTGAATACATTATATCAGGGAAGTTTCTTGCATGAAAGTTTACAAGCTAGGATAGTTAGCAGTTGACCAAGTGTCATGGTCCAGAACAGACAATCACGAAATTAGCATGATTGTTGTGCGATAAAGAAGAAATGGATTATGTTACACACAGTGCGTGCAAATTGACCGGATGATCGCAATGGTGAAAGAATCGAAGATCAGTCTGGTTTTGGCGCGGTGACGAGTGGGATCGAAACAGGAAGTTCATACTAGAGACAACATTGCAGATTTTGATAATCTATTTAAAGCGAACGAAAGAAGAAGAAGAAGAATTCAAGATTGAGTCTACCAAAGCAGCCTGCAGCGGGCTTTGATTACCTGGCCATTTGCATTGTCAAGATGGATACCAGCTGTTATAACTGAGTAATTGGACGTGAATATGGAGCGTGCCAGCGACTGTATATGGACTTAGAATACATGCAGACCGTTGGAACGTGAGTTGTAGCATAGTGTATGTAGTTTATTTGAGCTGAGTGCTAGGGAGTCGTAACCCTAACAACAACAACAACAACAACCACACACACACACACACGCACGCACGCACACACGCACGCACGCACACACGCACACACACACACACACACACACACACAAACAGATAGTGAAAGACAGACAACGCAGAATGGACCAGTGATTCAGTTAGTTGCGTGTCCTTTACATGACGATTGCAGAAACTAACACGGGCATTTTGTTTTTCCGCTGTTGTGCTTCTTCTGAGCAAATTGATTTAACAGTATTTTAAACCAAGCCTTGTGCTCCAGACAAAATATCGTCGACTTTCCTGTTGTTGAATCCTGGTACAGCTCTAGTCCCAGCCATGACCTACTTTAGATCTAAAGTAGGTCATGCTCCATCAATGTTATTATTGAATAAATCAGGCATAGTCACTGCTGGTGACCAAATATCTTTTTGTGACGAGAGCAACGGGTGCTTTCTTAATAACCTACCCCAAACAGGGGAAATCCACAGGTCACGGGACAGTCTAATATGCCAGAGGGTGGTAGATAGGCTGCATGCAGTCGTTGGTCTCAGACTGCATGCAGTCGTGGGACCTAGGCTGCACTCTCTCGTGGGACGTAGGTGGGTTGGGGTTATCGCCAGTTCTAGATGTTTTGGGGTTGTTAGAAGCATCAGAAATCCGTAAAACCCAGTCTTACCACCCTCTAAAATGTTGGACTGTCTTGTGACGTCATCTGGGGGGTAGGGTATTACGAAAGAACCGAGCAACGTTCTGCCAAGGACCTGCTCCACGAGTATGACCCAGGAATAAGTAGCATCTCGATACTGTAGGTGTTGGGAAAACGATCACAGACCCACACACTTATCTCACCTGCATGAGAATTCTCTCGCAAGTAAACTGTGATGCGTGTTTGCTAACCAAACTACTAGAAGCAGAGTTGATTTCTTGCTCCGGGAAATGGTTGATTGGCCACACCTGTGGACAAGGTAATTGAGAAATTCGACTACTAGAAGCAGAGTTGATTTCTTGCTCCGGGAAATGGTTGATTGGCCACACCTGTGGACAAGGTAATTGAGAAAACCGACTACTAAAAGCAGAGGTAATGTCTTGCTCCGGGAAATGGTTGATCGGCAATACCTGTAGAAAAGATAATTGAGAAAACAGACCACCAGAAGCAGAGGTATTTTCTTGCTCTGGGAAATGGTTGATCGGCAATACCTGTAGAAAAGATAATTGAGAAAACAGACCACCAGAAGCAGAGGTATTTTCTTGCTCCGGGAAATGGTTGATCGGCAATACCTGTAGAAAAGATAATTGAGAAAACAGAATACTAGAAGCAGAGGTATTATCTTGCTCCGGGAAATGGTTGATCGGCAATACCTGTATAAAAGATATTTGAGAAAACAGAATACCAGAAGCAGAGGTATTTTCTTGCTCGGGGAAATGGTTGATTGGCCAAACCTGTAGACAAAGTAATTTAGAAAACATTGCATTTTTAACTCTTGCAGTATCAAGGAAGCCCCATCCAAGTGATACCCAATAATAGAATTGTGAACTGTCGTTTTGCTCCTGCCTATTTTACCCGTGTGAGTTCCAGGGCCCTATAGTGGTAACAACAATTATATATATATATATATATATATATATATATATATATATATATATATATATATATATATATATATATATATATATATATATATATATAATATATATAATAATATAATAATAATAATTTTTTTTTGCTCCCCAACAAGTATGTTGTATGTGTTGCATTATGGGATTCCTTCGAAGTAGGAGTGTATCTGTCTGAGAGACAAGGAACCAACATTCTGAATACAAACAAGCCAGATATGTTAAACGAATGTGCAGGCAACACTCAGGTTCTGGAACAAGACTAAAGCCCAGAGGTGGACGAACAACCTCAACTTTTTTCGCTGGAGCTCACAGCCGGTGGACGCTAAGGTGGAGGATGACGAGAAGAAGAAAAAAAGAAGAAGAAGAAAAAGAAGAAAAAAAGAAGAAGGAAAGAAGAAGAAGAAAGAAAAACACTCCTCCCAGTAAGCATACATGCATGTTTATGAACAAGATGTTAAAACAGTTCTTCCATTGTCAACCTTGCTAAGGATGGATACTAGAAATGTCATGAGGGAATCGCCGTGGTGTATGCGCACGACCTTCTCTATTTATTAGAGAAGGCAGTGTGTATGCGGTTAGACGCCCGCCTGCGGTTTGGAAGGTCGTGGGTTGGTGTGTGTGTAGTCCTGGGAAGTGCAAGTGGCCGGCACGATAGTGAACATATCACCCACCAAGTGCCGATTGGTCTATAAAAATATAGGTCTAACCGTGTATTCCCAATGCGCCTAAAGGCCTGGGAAAAGGATCTTCAGTTGTGACTTTTAGAAATATCATAGGCGGTACTATATCACCCGTCGAGTATCGACTGATCTATACAAATATTTGATCCGCTTCATATGTATATAAAACTGATGCACACGCAACACCCAGGTTCTGGAGCAGGACTGCAGTTCAGTAGTGGACGAGCAACCAGAACCTTCCGCCAGAGTTTACAGCTGGTGAACGCGAAGAAGAAGAAGAAGATATGTCGATGCGCCCTGGTTCTTGAAAAGACTAATTTTAGTGTCA